AAGACCAGAGCAGAGTCCTTAGCCCTGCTTGGTACATAAGGACGCTGAGGGACAGTCCATTGCTGGATCATGGGGCAGTGCTACCTGTTGGAGGAACAAAGAAGGATCAGGTAACTAAAACTGTTTGTTTATCCTCTCTCTTAGATTAAGGCCTGAGGTGCACTTGAGCTGAAAAACACTTTTTTTACGGGTGTTTGGCCTTTTTTTTTTTTTTTTTTTCCTTTCTTTTCTTTCTACCTCTAAACTCCCCTTCTAGTTAACCTATGTGTCCGTGCACACTATAGGTGTTTTAGAGGCAAAAAAAAAAAATCGCTTTTTACGTGTAAAAGAGAGCAGCGTTTTTGGCACAATGTGTATTAAAGTAGAACTAAAGTCCAAAACTTTTTTTTTTTTTTTTTTTTTTTTTTTTTAAGTTTTGGATAGAGTGCAGAGGGATTAGAAACCCTATCATTTTTTTCTTTACTGCTGTCTGTGCCCTCGTTAAGTTTCACCCTCTATTTGTCCTATATTGTTTACCATTATTAATAGTAGTGGTGCACCGAAATTAAAATTCTGGTGCCGAAACTTCCAGATGCACTTGGGCAAAAACTGAAATGGACAGTTTTTTTTTAAAAATGAATATATTTTTCAAGCGCAATTTAAAAAAAAATAACTTTATAATCTAAAAAAAAAACCCCCACAATTTATACCCCAATTTTTTCAAAAATCTATGAAAGATGATGTTACACCGAGTAAATTGATACCCAACATGTCATGCTGTAAAATTGCGTACGCTTGTGAAATGGTGTCCAACTATGGTGCTTTAAAAATTTCTACCAGTGTAAAGTTAGAAGAGGTCTAGTGCTAGAATTATTTATCTTGCTCTGACGTTCGTGGCGATATCTCGCATGTGTGGTTTGAACACCGTTTTACATATGTGGGCATGGCCTACATATGCGTGCACAACTACGTGCAAGCATGGGGGGACAGGGACACTTTAAACTTCGGAGGAGGAGGAGAACTGTTTTGTTTACAAACCGTTCTCCCCATTGAAGATGCTCGTGAATCACCGGCTGGGACCCGGTGATTGAGAGCCGTGGCCGCGAATGGCGGCGCGGGTAGGGCGTGCATGTTCCCTACCCGAAGATGCAAAATCGTGTGTGTGTGTGTGTGTGTGTGTGTGTGTGTGTGTGTGTGTGTGTGTGTGTGTGTGTGTGTGTGTGTGTGTGTGTGTGTGTGTGTGTGTGTGTGTGTGTGTGTGTGTGTGTGTGTGTGTGTGTGTGTGTGTGTGTGTGTGTATCAGAAGTGACATCGCTCTGGTCCTCCAAGGGCATAGAGATGAGTGGGGAGGCCATCTTTCCTTCACTTATCTCTATTCCCAGTATTCCCAGAAAAGTAATAGATGGAAAATCTTCCAATGGGGACACTAGTTTTGGTGACCTGGACATCCCCAAGGGATTCCCTTTTTGAATTGCTTTCTATTTTTGGTATGGGACAGGAAGTGACGGATAATCTCCACAATGGAACACAGATGGCGAAAAAAAAATCTGATGGGTTATAAACCTTATTTGCTCTATCCAAAATGGGGGAGAGGTTTTGCCTATAGTTCTACTTCAACTCATGTAAATGTTTCGAAATGTGCATTTAATACTAATTAATTTTCTGGCCAATGAAATAAACAAATACTCAAGTGCTTGATGCTTCGAAAAGCGTTTGCAAAAACTGCTGCGAGAAAAGCATTTAGAAGTGTGCAGTGCACCTAAAATGAGCTATTAAACCTTGCAATGCAGGCATAGCCCCACTGCAAGGGATAATTTATCTGTCTTAGTTGGGCTTTAATATTCGTATTTAAATCTGTAGATGTGATTGAAATAATGCCAGGCATTCCTGCCGTGAAGGTCCTTGTTTTGGCACCCTACAGAAGGAAGTGCCAGCTTTCTTCCAATGTGTTTGTGCATTGTCACATGGACTTGTGATGGAAACCCAAATTACACAGGCATGGTCCACTGTTGTCACCATCAGGAACTCAGCCCTGAGAAATACCAGATGTAGCCATCACTCGAGTTCATGTAGACAGGAGGTGGCTGCAAAGTGGTTGCAGGAGATCAGAAGCACTGAGATGCAAACCAAATATCCTGTTCAAAGTTGGAACTAATTTAAAATGTTTTATGCATATTAACCCTATAGATCAGCATCTCTAAAGGAAGAATGGTTTGCGCTGCTCATAGCAGATTATTCCTTCCATGCTTCCTGTGCAGTCTGGGAGAATGAACGGGGTAATCTGGTTTCTGTAGGCTACAAAAACAGATCTCTCTTTCACATTAATAAATAAGGCCGAGAAGGGTCTGCATGAAAGCAGTTTGCCTTGATCCATATTCTGTTTAATGGGGAAACTGTTATCACAGATCTTTTGCCAGAGGCCAAGCAGCTTTACAAATGTGAGGGCCATCCGTTCGGTAATAGTAGCAGACATCCTCCCTACTTGATCTGTACAGACGTAACAGACAGGAAGTGTCTCATCCTCTCTCTGGGGCAGGCTGTGTGTTTCATCCTCCTCCTCTCTGGAGAAGGAGCAGACACTGCCAAGTATTGTGGAACATCCTCCTCGCTAACTGCGCTGCACTTTTGCACCTATGTTGGCACTTGACATACTAGTTGCTTCTTCCTTTCCATTTGCAGTTGCAGAGCCAAGTTATTAAAAGTCTAAAAATCTATCTGGCATGTCTGTATATGCCACTATAGGAAAAATATTTTGAGATCTTGTTAAATCTTTATTCTCGATCAACCCTTTTTAGCTATAATCTTTAACTTACCCTCCTCCTCCTTTTTGTCTTGGGTGTTTTGAATGTGGTTTAATGTGTGTTTTGATGAGCTAGGCATAGACAGCCAGATCTTGTTCGTAGCAATTGTTGTGTGCCAAAGGCTGCTGCATGTGGTTATGGTTATTCAGGTGTTCGCTGAAAAGTATGATCTTTAGAAGCAAACTGATTATTCAAATACACTGATTAAAACACTTTTTTTAATCAAAGTATAGCATCAAGTCAGTTAAACTCCTGGGATATTGATCTGGTCAGTTAGGTAGCAGAGGGGTTGTTAATCAGTTTTCAGCTGCTTTAGTGTTAATGAAATTAACAGGTGCATACTAGATGGGCAACAATGAGATGACCCCCAAAACAGGAATGGATTTACAAGTGGAGGCTTTCCCTACTCATCTTTTCTGACTGTTTTTCACTAGTTTTGCATTTGGTTAGGGCCAGTGTCACTACTCGTAGCCTGAGGCGATACCTGGACCCTACAGAGGTTGCACAGGCAGTCCAACTCCTCCAGGATGGCACATCAATACGTGCCATTGCCAGAAGGTTTGCTGTGTCTCCCAGCACAGTCTCAAGAGCATGGAGGAGATTCCAGGAGACAGGCAGTTACTGTAGGAGAGCTGGGCAGGGCCGTAGAAGGTCCTTAACCCATCAGCAGGACCGGTATCTGCTCCTTTGTGCAAGGAGGAACAGGATGAGCACTGCCAGAGCCCTAAAAAATGACCTCCAGCAGGCCACTGTGTGAATGCCTCTGGCCAAACAATCAGAAACAGACTTCATGAGGGTGGGCCTGAGGGCCCGACGCCCTGTGCTCACTGCCTGGCACCATAGAACTTGGTTGGCATTTACCATTGAACACCAGAATTGGCAGATCCGCCACTGGCGTCATGTGCTTTTCACACATGAGAGCAGGTGTGAGCACATGTGACAGACGTGAAAGGGTTAGTAGAATGTTATGCTGCCTGTAACATTGTTCAGCATGACCGGTTTGGTGGTGTGTCAGTGATGGTCTGGGTAGGCATATCCATGGAGGGACGCACATACCTCTACAGGCTAGGCAATGGCTGCCATTCGGTATCGGGTTGAAATCCTTGGACCCATTGTCAGACCCTACGCTGGTGCAGTGGGTCCTGGGTTCCTCCTGGTGCTTGACAATAACCAGCCTCATGTGGCGAGCGTATGTAGGCAGTTCCTAGGGGATGAAGGAATTAATACCATTAAATGGCCCCTATGCTCGCCTGACCTAAATCTAATAGAAAACCTCTGGGATATTGTGTTTCGGTCCATCCGACGCTGCCAGGTTGCACCTCAGACTGTCCAGGAGCTCCGTGATGCCCTGGTCCAGAACAAAATGAACTAGCCTGCTGCATCATTTTTTCACTTTGATTTTCGGGGTGTCTTTGAATTCAGTCCTCTGATGAAAATTAAAATTATCGACCTACAAACGATGTTGATGGATGTTCCTAACATGTTGCCCTGTCCATATCAGTATAGATAATTTAATTTTTTTGAGCAGTGCAGTAAGAGGTACAAATCTTCCGGAGCACCATCTTCCTGCAATATCTATGGAGGAGCAGCAATGCTGTGCTAGGACAGGACTACAGAATGCCTGACCCTCTTCTTATAATTGTATATAGTGGGAACTGATCTGTGGTTTGCAGAGATTGCTGGGGCGGTGCTAATAGTGTGCAGCACAGTGCAAAAGAAGGCTGTCATGATTTCTGGCAGGATCAACTGGTATTTGATTGCAAACAGAAAATGTTTTCAGTTGTATATTTACAGCTCAACTCTGGGATCCATCAGTTTGTAAATGGTCCCACATATTGTTTAAAACATAAAAAGTACCTCCCCCCCCAAAACTTGCTGTCAGTCTGGAGCTGTCATCATTTATGCCTTGTTCACATCTAGCGATTTGGGATCACGCGCAAAATCGCACTGCAATGGTGGGAAAATGCAGAACACATCTTTTGTGGTGGCATTCATTTTTAATGGCATCTAAAATGCAGTGTGGTTTGCCGGAATTTCCGTGCAATTTATCATGCGCCAAACCACTTCAATGATTCCATCCAAGATCCCAAATCATTAGATGTGAACAGGGTCTTAACCTAGAAGACTAAGGACATCCTTTGAGAGACGTCGTGAACCGTGTCTCCACAGCACCTTGCCCCCACGGTGTAGTGAGCAGGGGCAGACTGACAACTCATGGGGCCCCCGAGCAATGGGGGATCATGGGGCCCCTGTGTCCTTGCACAAACTCAAAAAAGCCTATGAAAAAGGTACCAGGGACGTATCTAATGGAGCCCCCTACTGACCCCAGGCCCTCGGGCAGTGCCTGAGTTTCCAAATGGTCAGTCCGCCCCTGGAGTGAGAAATGCCCAGTGCAGGAAGAAGAGGACCCTGCATATTATGTGACCAGCCTGAAGATAACTGAATAGATAGAGAGATTATATATTATAATTCTAATACAGGCATACCTCAGTTTCCGAATTTAATTTGTTCTGCTGGACTTTTTGTATAGTGAACAATTCGTAAACTGAAAGCCATTTCCCATAGGAATGCATTGAAAACCAATTAATCTGTTCTGGAGGTCAGAAAGTAAACGCTACTAAAATACCGCATGAGTTATTTTATCAAGTCATGCAGTATTTTAGTAGTGACAACCATGTGTTAATGTTTCAACTGTCAGCGGGGTTTCCTACTGACCACTGAATGTAAAAGAATTGCCGGCAATTAAAAAAACAGTGTGGGGTCCCCCCTCCCATCCATTCCAAGCCCATCGGGTCTGGTATGGATTTTTTGAGGGGAACTCCCACACCAAAATAAAAAAAAAAATGGTGTGGGGGTTCCCCCATAAATCCAAACCAGACCTTTTATCCGAGCATGCAGGTCAGGAAAGGGGGGGGGGGGAGGGAGCACCCCCCTCCCCTCCTGAACCATACCAGGCCACATGACTTTAGTAAAAGTAAAAAATAAAGTGTCCCCCGCTGTAGACCCAACGTCGGTCACAGTGGTATGGTTTAGGAGGGGGTGGGGGGAGCTCTCTCGTTCCCCCACCCCCCCTTTCCTGACCTGCTGGGCTGTATGCTCAGATAAGGGTCTGGTATGGATTTTGAGGGCATGTGGCCTGGTATGATTCAGGAGGGGTTGGGGGGGGGGTGTCCCCCCCCCCCCCCCCCCCTTTGCTGACCTACCGGGCTGCATGCTCGGATAAAGGTCTGATTTGGATTTTGGGGGGAGGGGCAAGTCATTTTTTCTTAAATTTTGGCGTGGAAGTTCCCCTCAAAATCCATACCAGCCCTGAAGGGCTTGGTATGGATGGGAGGGGGAACCCACATGCTGTTTTTTTTTATTTATTGTGGTGTCGGTTTTTAAATGTAATTACCCTTCTCCCTCCCTCCCTTCCTTCCTCCCTCCCTCCCTTCCTTCCTCCTCCTTCTCTTTTTTTTCTTTTTTTCACTATAACTCAAAGATTCAGCTGTCCCTTTCCCCCCAGCTAAAACAAAAGTTTCCTTTTTTAGTTTATTTTCCCAAGTTAAAAGAAACAATGTTTCCTTTTAGTTTCTTAAAAGAAACCGTTTCCTTTAATTCCAGGGAAAGTGACAGCTAATTTTGTGAGTTATAGTGAAGAAAAAAAGAAAGCCGGCAATTGCATTTAAAAATTGGCACCGACATACTCTTCGTTTTGCAAAACAAATTCATAAAAAATTTGTATACCGAGGCATTATTTTCAATGGATTTTTATTCGTAAACCGAAAATTATGTTAACCGAGGCCTTTGTAAACCGAGGTACACCTGTATTTAAAAAAAAGTGCAAGGAGCATGTTGATTGGAAGAGAGAAAAGATGTTATCGGCTCATTTCACTGTCTAGTCACAGGGTGGGGGTGGGGAGGAGACCTGTAAGTTAACCCAAAACTGTAGCAGAGAAAAATCTGGTCGCTTCCCATACCAGAGAATACTATGCTGTGTATCAGAGCTGTGTATATCTCCAGAATTGATGGACAGAAATACAATTACTCTATATGAAACAGCTTTCATATACTGTACTTGTATGTATTTGACTGTTTTCCTGGAGTTCAGCTCCTGTCACCATCTTGTCCTCCCATAAACTAAAGGCAGATGATCTGTCTTAAAGTAGATTTTTCATTATTAACTCATTCTTAACAAGTCGCTAATACATTTTAAGAGAAGCCCTCAGTGACCTTTCTAACTGCAAGCACTGTGGAGTAATTAGACTGTCATATTACAGCCCTTAATTGTAGTCTAATAAAGTACAAAATTGTTACTGTGTGATGCAAAAGCCTCATAAAGTAGACAGAAAAACCTTTTACCTTCCTTGACTGAGCCAACGTCTCCTCTGTTTGTATCGCATGTGCTCCACCTCCCAGACACTGCTGCCAACAGTGAAGTGTTTAAGCAGCAGAGAATGTACTGTCAATCAGAAAGCAGTGAGCAGGAGTAGGTGTTGATAGACAAGCTACAGGCCGCTGAGGCCATCAGCATTGACAGTGTTGATGGGTACGTCCCCTGCAACATTTTATCAAGCTACTGTACTGCCAGCAGACACAGCCTACATGACGTCAGTAAAGCATTTGATACAGTTCCACATAAGCCAATTTAAAAAAAAAAAGTGTTCAAGCCAGGACCTAAACCTTTGGCGGTTCAGTGGATATGCAGTTGGCTAACAGATACCAGAGTGTGGTTGTAAAATGAGGCTTGTTCAGATCAAACATCAGTCACTAGTGGTGTACCGCAAGGCTCTGTACTGGGTCCTGTTCTGTTTTAAACAATTAAACAAAGGTAAAAATATTCTCAGAAATGTTTCTACCTTTTTAATTTTGACCTATAAACCGTACAAGTCGTTTGAAAAGCAAAGAAATCTTTTAGGGGGAGTAAAAATAAAAAAACTAAAATACGGTTGCATAAGTGTGCACACCCTCTTATAGCTGGGGATGTAGTGGTGTTCAGAATTAAGTAATCACATTCAAAATCATGTTCAATAAAAGTAAGTACACACCTGCCATCATTTTTAAAGTGACTTTGATTAACTCCAAATAAAGTTCAGCTGTTCTAGTAGGTCTTTCCTGACATTTTCTTAGTCGCATCCTACAGCAAAAGCCATGGTCTGCAGAGAGCTTCCAAAGCATCAGAGGGATCTTATTGTTAAAAGGGTATCAGTCAGGAGAAGGGTACAAATGAATTTCCAAGGCACTATAGATATACCATGGAACACAGTGAAGAAAGTCATCAAGTGGAGAAAATATAGCGCAACATTGACATTACCAAGAACTGGACGTCCCTCCATTATTGATGAAAAGACAAGAAGAAAAATGGTCTGGGAGGCTGCCAAGAGGCCTACAGCAACATTAAAGGAGCTGCAGGAATATCTGGAAAGTACTGGCTGTGTGGTACATGTGACAACAATCTCCCGTATTCCTCATCTGTTTGGGCTATGGGGTAGAGTGGCAAGACGGAAGCCTTTTCTTATGAAGAAAAGTATCCAAGCCCGGCTTAATTTTGCAAAAACACATCTGAAGTCTCCCAAAAGCATGTGGGAAAACTTGTTATGTTCTGATGAGACCAAGGTTGAACTTTTTGGCCAAAATTCCAAAAGATCTGTTTGGGCGCAAAAACACTGCACGTCACCAAAAGAACACCATACCCACAGTGAAGCATGGTGGTGGCAGCATGCTGTTTTTTTCTTCAGGTGGAACTGGGGTCTTAGTCAAGGTAGAGGGAATTATGAACAGTTCCGAATACCGATCAATATTGGCACAAAACCTTCAGGCTTCTGCTAGAAAGCTGAACATGAAGAGGAACTCAATCTGTCAACATGACAACGACCCAAAGCATACATCCAAATCAAAGGAATGGCTTCACCAGAAGAACATTAAAGTTTTTTTTAAAATGGCCCAGCCAGAGCCCAGACCTGAATCAGAGCGAAAATCAGTTGGGCGATCTGAAGAGGGCTGTGCACAGGAGATGCCCTTGTAATATTACAGATATTTAGTGTTTTTTCAAGAGTGGGTGAATATTACCAAGTCAAGATGTGCCATGCTGATAGACTCATACCCAAAAAGACTGAGTGCTGTAATAAAATCAAAAGGTGCTTCAACAAAGTATTAGTTTAACCACTTCCCGACCGGCCGTTGCATATAAATGGCCGGAGGGTGGCACTGTAGGGTTGGGTGGCCGTTTATAAACGGCCTCCCCGCACCCTGCTTGTGCGCGCAGCACCGCGATCCGGTGCCCGCTGTGTCCTCGTACAGAGGTCCCGATCATGTGATCACTGATTGGCCAATCAGTGATCACATGCAAAGTAGTAAGCTTCTGACATCATTGCTTACTACGTGTGAAATCTGTGAATGATCACAGAGGTCACATGGTACAAGGCTATTCACAACAGCCTTGTACCATGTGACAAGCTGTGACCAATCACAGCTCACTCAGTACTTCTCAATGAGTGCAAGAATGCACACCGAGAGAAAGAGAAATGATTGCTTTTACATCCTATATGGGTGTAAAAGCAATCAGTGTCAAAAAAAAAAAATCTTCATCACCCTCCACAAGTAGTACAGTGTCACCATGGTGACACTGTACTGCTAGGGTGACAGTATGTAAAAAAAAAAAAATAAAATAAAAAAATTAAAAATGTAAAAAAAAAATGTTTAAAAATTATAATTGTTGGTTATAAACTAATTTGGATTTTTTTTTTTTTACTAAAAAGATAACGGAATAAATTTTGGCTAAGATTTATGATAAAATATTTATTTGCAAAATTTTATTAAAAAAAACACTTTTTCGAAATTTTTGGACATTTCATTTACATAGCAAAAAAAATACAAATCCCAGTGGTGAATAAATACCACCAAAATAAAGCTTTATCTGTCTCAAAAAAATTGGTAAAAAATTCATTTGGGTACAGTGTTGCATGACCGCGCAATTGTCATTCAAAGTGTAATAGCGCTAAAAGCTGAAAATTGCCCTGGTCAGGAAGGGGGTAAAAGTGTCCGGTCTGGAAGTGGTTAAGGGTGTTCACACTTATGCAACCATATTATTTTAGTTTTTTTATTTTTACTTCCCTCCACCTAAAATATTTCAGTTTGTTGTTTAACTGAGTTGTACAGTTTATAGGTTACATTAAAGGTGGAAAAAGTTCTGAAATGATTTATCTTTAATATATTTTTACATCACAGAAACCTGACATTTTAACAGGGGCATGTAGACTTTTTATATCCACTGTATATCATTTTTAATGTGATGTTAAATGCTTTTTAGTTTTTTTTTTTTCGAATCATAAACTGGTTTATACTTGCCTGCTCTGTGCAATGGAATTCTGTGTCCTCATTCAATCCAGCGCTGTGCCCGTCTGCAGTGGCCCTGCCCCCTCTCCCTCATCACAAGATTTAACTGACAGCCAGCTATGCCTGTGAGAGCGGGGAGAAGGGAGAGCTGCTGGAGATGGGCACAGCACTGGATGTAAAAATAAAATGTTTTTAGGCTTTGGAACCATTTAAAAATTTTCTATAGGCGACTCCTTAAAAGCTCCCTATAGTCCTCTTTCTAGCGTTACGGAGGTGATCTGGTGCTAGATTTATTGCACTCATTCCGGTGTGTGCAGCAATATGTAACGTGTATCACAATTTGTTTTTATGCAGGATGTAGGGATTTTATGTGCTTGGGAGTAACTTACATTTTTTTCCTCTACCCTGTATCATGCAGTTGGGCAAGCGGAGGCCGAGATGCATACCAGGGGGGCGCGGGGGGCACTCTACCCACGTGTGTGGAAGCAATCAGGCAGCAGCAGAGCAGCATGAATGCTTCCACCTGACAAGTGAGCCCTGCTGCTTACCTGCAGCAGGGGTAAATGTAGAAAAAAAAAAATTACCTGCCCTGAACTGCATGCCCTGGGCATCGGTGATTCTCCCTCCCTCCCTATGCACGCTGTTGTTTTTGGCACTGTAACATCTCACTACATTGCCCTGCAGTTGGCTGATCACGGGATCTTATCTTGGCTGCTCCCTTCTCCCAGAAAAAAAAGCAGTGTGTCTAGGTAGCTCTGAGCAGGTGAATAGAGCACCCTGGCCAAACATGTCATTGCTAGTGCCTATCTTGGTCACCTTCCAGGTTCACGAGGTGTCATCACAGGGTACCAGGTCTGTGGTATGTGCCCACATATGGCCTAAGGTTTACGCTAGCTTCTTCATTTCTATCCTGGTGCTATTTTGGCCTCTGGCTGTATGGGTTGCAGCTCTGCCATGTTGCGAGGTGAAGCATGCATGAAGCAGCATACACATTGTATGCATGCATAGGTTTTCTTGACATTTTCCCTGGCGCCATTCCCTTTGCGGCAATAGGCATTGTTGGTCAATCCATTCAAGGCGGTGCTGGACACGTTCCTGGTTGTCCCCTTTTTGGTAACCACTGACCAGCTAGGTCTGGTAATGTTTTGCCTTCTTCCACTTACTTTGATAACTGTCTGCAACACTGGAAATGTCCAAAGCAGCCTTTTGTGGCCCAAGGTGCTTGTGGTCCGTTACCCCTTTTACGGAGTAGGACATTTTGCAGCTGTGGACCTCCCCTCCCATGATACACCTTCCCATTGCTAGGGGCATGCTATCACCGGGTTGCTTGTAGTGCTGTTTCCTTCCTTTTTTAAATATTTTGCAGGCTACAGGGCATAGTTTGATACCCACTTTGTTTACCATGGCGTGGACCTGTTGCGGCCTGGGTTGGCCTTCGCTCTGGTGTCTGGCGCTTACCCAATGGGCAAAGCTTCTGTGGCAAGTTTTGTACACCAACATGTGGATCAGATGTCTGTGGAACTGGTAGACCAGGTGGTCCAGGGCCAGAAGTACATATGTGCTACATGCTTTGATGCTGATCTATCCCCTTTTTAAGTCCTCCGTCTTGGTGGTGGTGCTTCGGTGGGTGCTTTGGCTGGGCTGCTGCCGGGCTTCTGCTACAGTCCTGGTGGACCTGCTTCTCCAGGGAGTTTGTGTCTTCGATAATACCTTGGACAATCCTGTTAAGAACCTCACAAGTGGTAGCAATTCCTTCCGTCCACAGGCCGAGCAGTGGAAGGAATCACTTTGGAAGTCCAGGCCCATCTTCACTGCATCAGAAACCCTTTTCATGCCTCTGGCTCTTCTGACTAAGACTCCAGGCCACGGATGGGGCCTAGCTCCCCTGGACCCATAAGTCAATCAGCTCTCAGATTAGTCTACTTCAGCATTAAGGTTTTCCCCACCTGTCTCTACGGGGTGGGTAATTTTTCTGGGTCATGGACCTCTAACCAGTACGTTCACGGATTAATTGTGCCTGGCTACAAAATCCAGCAAAGAAATTTCTCCAATTTTCATCTTCTGCCATCATACCTTGTGAGGGGTTTGCTTTCCCAGGGAGTAATTATCGCTGTTTCTGAGCCAGAATAGTTCTCTGGCTGGTTCAGGAGTTCCAGCTGGAATCCATCCGTTCGGTGGTGGCCTCTTTGTCTGGGGTATTTGCTAACATACTTGGACTCCAATGGTGCATACCTGCACACTTCCATGTGTAGAGACATCGGCGGTTCCTCCGCTTTGCATTGTGGATGCGCATCATAATTTTGGGGCGTTCCCCTTTGGGCCAGTCTTGCATGCCCGAGTGTTTTCTGAGATGCTGGCTCCAGTCCTGGGATTGCTGTGACTGGTTATTTTGACAACCTGCTCCTGTGGACAGACTGCCAGATCACACTGATGGACAACATGGTGATCACAGTGCACTCCCGACAGGACTTCGGATATGTCCCGAACCTTCAGAAGTCTGCCCTGACCAGGATTCTGAAGTATCTGGATTCTTGAATCGGTGTGGCCCAATTGCTCTGGTCCGATGAGCGGTCCTCCCTGAGATCTTGTATGCAGGCCCCTAGTCTCATGGTGTCCACCTGTGGGGCGGTCCCATTTGCCTAGTTGCACTCTAGAGTCTGCAGAGGAAACCTCTGCCCCACTGGGACTTTTACAGTCTTTCTAGCTAGCCAGCTTCGTCTGGAGCTGTCAACGAAGGCCTGCCTCCTGTGGTGACTCTGGGCCCCCCTGCCTTGCAAGCTCGGAAATCCTGTCTTCCCCCTCCTCTGGCTGATTGCACGACAGATGCCAGCCTATCTGGCTGGGGTGGAGTCCACGGTTCAAGATCAGCATAAGGCTGTTGGACTGCAGGGGCGGCTCGTATTCCCATCCTTGCACTGAAGCTTCTAGTGATCAGCTGTCTCTGGAGCGGACCACTGGACCTTCTCAGGGGGCTCCATGCTTGTGAGTCAATCGGTCGGTGCCGCTCCAGTGGCCTAGGTTACCCTTTGCAGTGGCAGTACGGCATGTTCTGGCTTCTCATGCACATTCCTGGCATTGAGACTTGACAGGCAAACTACTTCAGTCATCTGACGTTGAATAGGGGGCAGGGCCCTGCTCCCGGTCATATTTTGCTAGATCTACCTACCTGGACGTGGATATTCTGGCATCTTGCCTCTACAGGTTGGGTGCCATGGGTTGGCAAGAGTGTAGGACCCCCTGGCAGATGCTACGATTGTACTAGTGGTGTTGTGGGACCGATATTGTCTTCTTTACACCTTCCCTCCTCGCTGGCTTCTCCCTTGCCTGCTGCTTGGGATCGCAGGATAGAGGCTGAATGGTTTTTCAGTTTTTCTGGTTGCATTTGATTGGTTTGTGGTATGCTGCAATGGTGTGGATGGTCAGGAATGTTCCCTGATGGATTCCTCTTCGGGAAGATTCTCCTGTCCTAGGATCTGGTTTACCCCCCTGCCTTCTTTTCTCTGTCCTTGATGGCTTGGCTATCAAAATTTAGTGTTGTGAGACTGAAGATGTCGGGTTTGATATTCCCCACAATATTAAGGGCTCATAGGCCTGCCTTTAGGATGATTTTTACCTTCTTACTACGCTTAGTCTGGTGCACCTCTCTCCTCTATTTTCTTCATACAGAGTTTCCTTTTACTCTAGAGGGGGCAGCCTCACAACGGTGTAAATACTTTGCAGCAACTTTAAACTAAAAACCCCCCCCCCTCCCCCTTCCACCCAGAATTACCTAAGCTGCAAGATCCCCCACTCCCACCCAGAACTACCAAAGCTGCATGACCCCCACTATACATCCTATATCCCCTCCACTATATATTTTTCTCCCCCCCCCCCCCCCTTAGTCTCGTGGAGAAGTCCCTATATTCTCCCACAGCAGAACTTCCTCATCTTTTTATGACTTTTATGACACTGAGTATTATACCCACAAGTACCTCTCTTGCGCCAATATGCACTTCTGTCTATCCTCACACCTGAGAAACTTGTATTGCCGGGTCTGGGGATCTGGTTGTCCATCCACAGCCCTTTCTGTGGCTCTATTGACCTTTCCTCAATGGGACATTGCACATACACTTGTCTGGATTACCACCAGGGTCCAGTTTTTTGTGTTTT